CCCCCCCCCCCCCCCCCTCCTCCTCACTGCCCCGCCTCATGCTCTGCCCTCCCTCCTCGCCCCCCACGTGAGGAGAAGTTTTCCTGCCATTTGAACACTTTCCACGGAACTTCTGGAAAACTGCTCTGCAGCTTCATTAACATTCACGCAAACAAACCCCCGCCTGGTGCGGGTTTTCCGCTATTACTTGTGGAAAAAACAACAACTTTATTTCTAATAAACTGACATGTGAGCAGCAAATAGCCTACTGTAGCTTGGTAAGTATTAAAAAAATGGTTGATTATGAACTAAGAAGAAGAAGAATAAACGACATAAGGTGCGTGCGCCCACAGTGAGAAGTTCAGAGGCACTGTTTCACGAAAAGTGGGTTAAATCTTACCAACAAAAAGACATATTACATCCAAACCGACAAGCATCTTCCTCTTGGTGCAAAACGGGCCCCCCTCCTGAGTCTGGGGGAGAAACTGTCCCCCCGCTCCGTTCTCCCTCCCTTCCCCGGCCCCTCCAGAGTCCGCGAGGCGCAGCTGCAGCTCCGCGTCCCGGGGCAGCGCGTTACAGTGCGTCCCGCTCGAGTTCAACTTCTGCATGTCTTTATCTTCTCAGAGCGAAAAGTTCAGGACAAGTTGAGCAGCAGCCGGTCCTCCCTGCAGCCCGAGTCAGTGCTTGCTAAAGAAAGGGAAAGTTTTAGTGCGTCTGTCGGTCCATGTCCTGGAGAAGTGAAGTCTGACAGCAGCAGTGTGCGCACAGCGATCCGTGGAGCTTCTCATCAATACAGGACAGCAGGGAGGGAAGAAAGGCCCGAAGGAGCCAAAGTATCAACTCAAAAAGCTCACGAAGAACGTGTGAGTGGGGGCATGCTGTCCTTCCTGCTGTCCCGGTGTCCTCTGACCAGATATTTACACCTATAAGACAAAAACATGCACGAACCACACTGAGTGAACTTTGGAGTGCTCTGTGAGCTCCTCCCAACGAAGTTATGGAACATTTATTTTGTCAAGGAATGCATCATTTCCGGTCATGGTTTCCAACCGGTAACTTTACGCAGCCCTGGCTCTGAAACGGACATTGGGGGTGTGGGGGGCTGTCTGTAAACTTTCAAATCAATGTGCATCGATCAGACAGCAAACCACATGTCCAATAACCAATAACCCCCCCCCCCCCCCCCCATGACATTCCAACCCCATCTGTCCACTCAGATATTTCCTGAGGCGTGAATCTGTCCCACCCGTGACCCAAAAAAAGAGTCTGGTCAGAAATAAAACTCTTCTGTTAACCAGCTGGTAAACTTTTAACACGATCAGCTGGTCCTAATATTAGTCAATAATTTAATTTTAGTGCAAGAGGAAAAACATACCCAGTGCTTTTTCATTTATTTGTTTGTTTGTTTGTTTGTTTGCTTGTTTATGACGTTCTATATGTAAGTGTAAAGATTTACCAGTTTGTTTGCTCTGTCTTCCTCAAAGAGAAATCTCAGTCAGAAAAGTTCAGCTCAGGCAGGTATTTATATTTTTACAAACAAATGACTTTGTCTCATGTGTTGCAAACGTGTTGACATTTTTTACTGAATGTGTTACAATGTTGTTGTTGTTGTTTGGATTTGTTTTGTCTGTTGTCATATTTTCTCTTGGGGTTATTCTGCCACCTGCTGAAAATAACAAAGCAGAGCTGCTGCTCTTTTCTGTCCTAACAGTCCAGGTCATTTCATAAGCAGGAAAAGTTTGTCTGTTGTCAGCTGAGATGAATCATTACATTTCATTTTACATTCCTTATTTCTTTTACCCAGTTTTAAAAGTTTTCCCTTAGTCTTATCAATGTATGGATGAGAACACAAATGAGAGAAAAACAAACAAAACTCTGTATTAAGGGATGGATGAGAAACTATAATTTGCAGCACAGGGTTAAAGGGGGGTTTATACATCGGATGTGTGGACTGTTTAATGATAAACTTGCTTGCAGCCGTTTCTATAGTGTCGACGTCGTCTTACTGGTGTGTTTTCAATTATCGCAGAAGTGTTTGCGCATATGATGGATGTGTGGTTATTTGATTGGAGTTGGTTCATAGTAGTTTTGGTCACTTGAAAAACCAGTGCTTCTACAGTAAATGGTAAAGATGTGAGGTCATGATATGGTCTATGTCTAATGTGTGCATGTGTGTAGTGTTTTGCAAAAAGTATGAGTACGTGTGGTTGTGTAAATCTGGGCTTATGTTTTGCTGTGTGGTGGAAACGTTTTTGTGTGTAAACAATCAATGCTTCTCTTTCAGATGCTTCTTTCTGTAGCGGTTGCAACAAGCAAACTCAGGAATTACGTTGGATGTTCTTCCTGGGCTTGAACCTGCTGCCTCAGGATTACTAGACCATAAAGGATTGTACAATCAACCACCTTTTCTTATTGCATTACTGAATCCCTTCCTCTAGATGGCTGTAAATATTCATCACACATAATCAGATGAAGACACCTTCAACAGCTGACTCTGAGAAAACGAACTGAAGTGGTCACAAATGCAAAAATTCCCTTTTGGGTTTTATATTTTTGGTGTATACCATACACGGTTCTGAAGTGCAATGTACTTTCTGCGTTTCCAAATTTTGACTTGTACTTTACTGACAAATACTGCGTGTGTTGGTGTTATCTCCCACGGCCGATACGAGTCCTTGTTTCCAACTTTATTTGAATTAAAGATGTCCATTCTCACCCACTACAGTAATTTTACTCATGTTATTCTGAAACATTCACATTCTCTTTATCACCCTCTGTTTCTTAAGTGAAACTATGATCCACTGAGGTTAATGATTTTTTTTTTAATGTTACATCAACTGGAAATGCAGAAGTAAGATCTGTACACTTTGCTGAGGCAGGTTTATTTCCTTTTTCGTTTTCATAAACACAAGGGACTTCTTGTGTTTTTAAATGTGTGCATGCTTGAATACCACTGACTCACACATAAATGTACCACCCCACCACCCCCACCACCCCCCATGTAAAACAACCTCTAGTTTCATTCAAGAGCAAGTTATGAATCTGCAGTGCTCATGGAGTTATTTAACCTCTGTGGCGATAAGTTGTCAGGAACAAATCTATGCCCTATGTTCAAGTTATTTAATTATTTTACCACCTTTTTCAAATCGCAGAACACTCACCACTGGTTCCACGTCATCTATGAAGTGATGACACATACCTGAACCAGAGCCCATCCTGTTTTTCTGGTATCAAACTTTCCACAAGCAAAGAACAGATTAAGAAAGTGAAGCCAGTGACCACAACCAGAATGTGGTGCAGGTGGGTACTTTCAAGAAGTGCAAATAAGTAAACAACAACAGATTGTGCATTCATTCCTTCAACCTTTATTTATACAGGTTAATCCCACTGAGCCTCGGAAACTCATTTACGAGACCTAAAAATGTGCTTGTTTTCTATTTAGTTTGATGATGGTGGAGCTCTACCGGTAGTTTTTGCTGAGTTGTTTCTAACATTTGCATAACAGCAAAAAGGTTGCAGGTTCACCTTCCAGCCTTTCTGGTGGAGTTTGTGGAGAGATGGAGAAGCTAAATTGTTTCAACAAACATTTTGTTGCCTCTACTGTAGTTCCACTTGATGTGTCTAAAGGTAAGTTGCCTACTCCGCCAACGTGTCAAACCTCAGTAAACCGTATTCTCTTTTCCACCGTCCTCTGTCAGTGATGTTCCTGTTAAAAGATCTGGATACTAGAAAATCTGCAGGCCCTGACGACCTCTCTCCTTATTTCTTAAGTCTATAGCTGCACAAATTATAGCAGAACCAGTGTCATACATTTTTAATCTGTCTATACAACATAATACTGTCCCAGAAGCTTTTTGTGCTGCCATTATTGAAGAGAGGAGACCCCACTATTTTGAACAATTGTCAACCAATCGCCAAACTCTGTATTTTAGCTAAGGTTTTAGAAACACTGATGAATACTCGAGTCGAGAAGTATTTGGACTCTTTTAATATTTTATCTTCTCTCCAATCTGGCTTCAGGAAACAAAACAGCATGCACAACGAGTGCTTCGCTAAAGGTTTTTAATGATGTTGTTGAAACTTTGGACACTTTACTTACACCTGTCCAAAGCCTTTGATGCTGTAGATCATGACATCTTATGCCATAAGCTCTCAGATGTTGGCTTCTCAGATCAGACTGTTGGCTGGTTCTCAAACTACCTCTCAGGACGGAGGCAATGTGTTCGACATAACGGTACTTCATCTAGCTACCTAATGGTCAATAATGGTGTGCCACAAGGCTCAGTTTTAGGACCCACTCTTTTTACAATTTATATAAGTAACAATGATTGTTTTGGATGGGTGCGCTTTGCATGTGTTAAAAGCCTACTTTTGGGATTCCAACAGGAGGTTGGCTTGAAACAGCAGTAAAAGCTACTTATGGGACAGATCTGGTTTTTCAGGCCACCTTGCAGATGTTGGACGCTGTCAGTCATGGTGCGCTGATTCATAACTGGTTGTAACTACCTTACCCATCACTGCACTCTGTACTCATTGGTCAGTTGGTCATCATTATCTACATGTAGGTTCTCACACTGGTTCATTTTTTATCAATAAATCACTCCTTGGTCTGCTACCTTCTTATATCTCCTCCCACATGTCACGTTGTCAGTGCAGTTACAACATGCGCTCTCAGGGTTTCATTACCTTCAACGTTCCCTTAGTGCAGACTAAACTAGGCAAAAAGGGCTTTTCCTACTCTGCTCCTGGAACCTGGAACATTTTGAGACAGGAAGTGAAGCTGTCCAACTTATTTAGAGGAATTTAAACATTTGACAAAATCAATAGAAACATCGAAGCAAATATGTTTTTGTTTTTATTATTTTACCCTGTTTTATGACACCTTGATTTATTGTTTTATAACACTACTTTTATTTTAATTGTATTTTTACTGTAGTTTATTGTTGTCTGTACTTTATATGTTATTTGTCTAAAACAGGTCTCTCTTGTAAATGAGTCCTCGTGACTCAATGAGACTAACCTGTATAAATAAAGATTGAATGAATAAAACTTTGCGTGTTTTCCCATTGTATGTATGGATTTTCTCCAAGAAGTCCAGTTTCCTCCCACAGACAAAAACACGCATGTTAGCTTAGTTGGTATTGGTGACTCTAGGTGTGAGTGGGAGTGTTAACAGGTGTCTCGTTTTTCTTAATGTGTCCCTGTAATGGACTTGAGACCTGTCCAGGATGTCCCCCGCCTCTCTCACAGTGACCGATGGTGACTGGCACCAGCTCCCCGGGTCCTGTAAAAGGAAAAGTGCAAAAAGAAAAGGGATGGATGGATTTAGTCATAAAATGTGTGTGACTTTATGTAAATAGATCAGCACAGGAAAAATATCCAGTTTCAATAGAAGAATCAAAGCCATTACATTTTAAAACGGTGACATCATTTTAATATTTTCAAGGTTTGACCAAAACAACCACAACTTCTTCATTTCTCATCATAAGATGATTTTAGTCTAAAAGTCTGACATGAAAGGCGATGGACGATATACCTGTATGCTGGTGAGGATTCTCAGTCATCCAGGACAAAATGGAATAAGCGGGTAAAGAAAATGGATGGATGGATATCCATCCATTTTCTTTACCCGCTTATTCCATTTTGGGTCACGGGGGTCGCTGGTGCCCATGTCCAGCAGTCACTGTGCAAGGGGCGGGGTTCACCCTGGACGGGTCGCAAGTCCATCACAGGGCCACATAGAGACAAACGAGACAAACAACTATTCACTCTCTCACTCACACCTAGGGACAATTTAGAGTTACCAATCAGTCTAACATGCATGTTTTTGGACTGTGGGAGGAAACCGGAGTACCCGGAGAAAACCCACGCATGCACGGAGAGAACATGCAAACTCCACCCAGAAAGGACCGGGGTTTGCACCAGGGACCTGCTCGCTGAGAGGCAGCAGCTCTACCAGTTGCGCCACCGTGCTGCCG